AAAATATCCTAACAAAATGCTGTAGGACCCCCATTGTTCTTACCAAAAGTTCAGTGGTTTTTCTTGATAAATATTTTCTAATTTGTTTTATGACTGGTTAATTTATATGGTCCTGAAGCAGTTGTTTTTTGCAATTTTGTCCAGTTTTATCACTGATTTTTTGTGGAGACTATTTGTCAGGCTTCTCACTTAAAGAATTAAAAAAATTCTCAAAGTTCCACCCCCAAATACTTTCCTTTATGAAATTGAGTACTCTCTCTTGGGGCCATAGGCTAACATGTAGAAAATACGGTGCATTTAAGACTAAACTTTATACTACCACTTTAGTGTACCAAACATTTAGAGGTGAGTTTGTGCAAAAACAGTTAGTGGAGCCTAATTTTTTGGGAAGATGAGACTTCAGCACAGTCTTTAAAACGTTGAATAAGTGTGCAGGCCATCACATTAACTAACAAGCCACTTGTCCAGAATAATCTTGTCTGAGGTGCCAGTCAGCAACCCAGGCTGGCTGCTGTGAAAATTCTGTTTGGAGTAGAGTGGTGTCAAAAAGTGGTGTTTGTAACACAAAAATTGTATTCATCCTTTAGAAATTCTTAAAAAAACACACTCTTTGAAAAACAAAACAGTGCTTTTGTGGATTATTGAGCAGGAAATGCACATGAGAAAAATGTGCAAGTCTTAGGTTGTTGTGGGAACCATTTGAAAGATAGGTTTGAGAGGGGATTAAATGGTGTTCTAAGAGGTACTACTGAGATGTGTAGACCAGAGGAACATGATTAGTAACAGGTAGTTGAACTAAGTACAAATTGTCTTGAACTTTTGCCTTTAAAATATTATGTAGTAACTGTGGTAATATTTGTGAATTACAGCTTTCTTATCTGTAAAATAGGGTGAACATTTATTTTCTGTCTATTCCACATAGTGATGTGGATTACGATATTGGAAATAGAGATGAAAAAACAATCTGAGCACTAGCTAGAGTTGCCACAAGATGATGGTTATCAATAAGGAATGAAAGTAGAAGATATTTGAATACCACCCATAGACTAGTCGGGTGAGCCCTGAAGGGGTAGATGAAAAAGGATTTGAGCATCATAAGTAAAAAGATAATATTCGAAGGCCTAGTTGAAGGTATAGAGGTGGACTGTCCTAAATGTGGTAATTATGTCTGTTTTCATATCATTGCCTCACATTTTAGTATTTACCTTCCAAACAATTTGAAATGATGGATATGAATGCTATACACTTCTTTTTACAGATAATAAGATTATAGCACTAATACCTAATATTTAACTGTTTGCCTTGTTCTAAAAATGATTTAAGGATTACTTCTCATAGACAAAAAGATATTGCCTCATAAAAATTTCTCTAACTTGTTGTATTGTTTTTTAAATCTCAGTTGTCACTGACCATTTAAAAAAATATATCACTGTCATCTTAGGCTGAAAGCCATCTATTAACTCACAACGGAATCGTCTTTTAAAAACATGTTTGTTCATGTTACTTCTTCATTGACTTATGAACCTTGACTGGATAGTGCAGTGGGTGATGCCACATAATATTGGAATTAATTTCACATAGACTGAAAAAATAACATATTGTCATCTTCATTCCACATTAATTTTTACTGGGACTCCTGGAACCTTATTTTAATACCTAAAATGTGAAAAGTATCTTCTAACAGTAATCAGTGTCATAACATTCTGAGATGATGATTTTCTAAAACATTGATTTTGGAAGGTTTACTTTCTGTCTTTCATTATAGATATCCCTGTAAGAAACATTGACAGTAATAATCAGTATGTTATTTGAGAAGCTTGAGGATGTAGACTCTGTATTTGGCCTTTTTGCATTCAAATTCTGGCCTTGCCACTCAACGTTATAATATTCATTCCAACCTCAGGGAATTGTTTTAAAGGTTAAATGTGAATTTAACCTGCCAAAAAGTAAGAATTTTACATATTAAGTAGAAAACTATATAAATTACTTATACATGTATCTATTAAACATAATAATATAGTGATATATTTTATAAATATGTAAAATGTATTTATGTATAGACACAGACTTACATTTTCTCTGTGTGTGTGTGTGTGTGTGTGTGTATATCTATCTCTTTCTCTCACTTATTGCTCCACAACTCTAATGCAGAAGTAAGCTCTGTGAGTGCTATTTTCATGTGTTAAGTTCATTCCTGAATTCATACCACCTAGAGCAGTGCCTGGCATTAAGTAAATATTTGATGAATCAATGAAGTTTCTCTACTTTTTAACCTTGCTATTTTAGGATTAGAAAATTTACCATGAACATTCATATTTATCAGGTATTCCAGTTTCATTTTTTATAACTGATGAATGGAATCTTATTTTTATTTTACATTTTAGTGATTTTATATATGTGATTGCTTTACAAGGTTTGATTTAAAGCAAATATTAATTTAACTTTTAACTTTTAATTAAAGCAATTTAGTATTCGAACTCAAAGTATTTCTGTCTAATTCTCAAGACCTGGAGTGAATTGCAGTGATTTCTAATGCATTGCTTTTTACGTCACTTTTGAACCATATGGAACTATAAAGTAATGAAACTGTGAACATATATTTGCATGCATTCCTTTTCATCCAGAATAAACCACAGTTTTTTGTCTTCCGTGAGTGCTTTGCTCCTAATCACATTTCTCAAAAAAATATTTCTAGAAGCTCCTTTTAAAAGGTCCCTTTTAAATCAAATTTATTAATTATAAAACAAATTCAATCTTACTACTTTTTACTGATAGAACAGTATCACTTGATATAACACCTTTTCCTGCCCTTCTTGCAATTTTCTTTTCTATTTTCTTCACCCTCCTGCTCCCCCTTTCTTTCTGGTGTTTTCCCTCACACTTGGCTGCCTTCGTATTAGCAGGCTAAGTGTCTCTGTGTAAGCTTGTCCTTGGTCGGAGCTGTCTGCTGACTCTCAAATGCCATAAGTGGCTGTAATTGAGAGAGGCAATGAGATGTTGAATAGCCAAATTGTAAATGGAAGATTCTCTGTCCTTACCTATAAAAAGAAAAGGAACCTATAAAGGTAGCTATACAAACAAATTCAAAGACACATATAATAGTGTACTTTTGTTTTTGGTCTCAATTTTTGTGCAGCCAATACAGAGAGTTTCCAATAAACAAGATTTTTTGTTTTTTGTTTTTTTTTTTTGGTTTTGTTTTGGTGGTTTTTTTTTTTCCTTTAATTAAGAAAATGGAAATGTTTTGTTTACTCAGTCAGCCTTTTGTGGTGCTGTTAGTTGTTTGGTTCCTTAGGGAGGGGTGATACAGATTGAGGAAGTCACAGTCTCTGTTCTCAAGCAATTCATATTATAGTGTAGCTTTCAGTGAAATCGAGAAATCTACAAAGAGTTATAGGAGTGTCAGGGAAGATAAGATTGGTTTCGTCTGTGGTAGAGTGGGTTTCGTAGTATTCCTGATAACTTTGTGGACTTAGTCATGCTCGAATGTCAGAATATATTTCCCAGATGGGAGGGAAAAATTAAAAGATCTAAAAGATAATACTATTGTAGACAAACCTGTAGAGAACAACCCAACATTGTTTAGACATACAGAATATTTGAGGATGAGTTACACCAGTTCTTCAAACACCAGGGAAAAAAATAACAGCCAATAGTTATTGAGAGAGCATGCTGGAATAATCATCTGGTGAAATTTAAGCAGTTGACTTAAAAAATGTTTTTCCTGTCCAAGCAGTCAAATGTGGCATTGAAGTATGAATTTAAATTGTTCCTGTGGTATAAAAACCTCACTAATTGTGCAAATACAAGTGGACACACTGAGTTTCATTGCCTTAATGTTTTTAAGTCCCAGAACAAAATACAATGCTTTCATTAGCTTCCACTAATTTGTTTTCATTTTATATCATAGTATATCTTATTTTAATCAATAGCGATTTGGTAAAGTAGAGCTCAATTTTATTTTTATGCTATTGACTTTCTGCCCTTTATCTCATTCGTTATCCATTTGGGGGCAAAATTCTAGAATACATAATGGATTTTGTCATTGTTTAGCACATATATATATATATATATATATATATATATATATATATATTTACTTAATCTCTTGACTGCATACTTCCACTAATAGCATAAATAAATACTAAATATAATAATAATTAACTAACATAGCTGATTCTCGTGTAAAGCTCTTTAAATAGACATACTAGAACATTCAAAAATTGATATGGCCAGTTGCAAAACCATTAGGAAACATTAAATGTCCAAAGAAAAACTACTTTGAAGGACAGTACTATTTTCTGGATGTTAAAAGTCTGTTTTATTGTTTAATAAAATAAATAAAAAATGTCATGGTAATTTAAAGAAAATAAAACTCAAATACTTCTATAAATCTTCAATTCAAATAAACTCCTATTTTGGTTTATTTATGATTTTTAAAATTTAAATTTATTTAGATTATTATAAGTAAATAGGTAATAGTATTTGTGCCTGTGTACATAAATAAGGGTGTGCATATGTATATGTGTATACATATACTGTGTATACATATACATATGTGTTTGCATATATGCTGTGCCAAGGTGTTTCTCAATTTGTTTTCTATGGCTGTTATCTAATGGTAAAAGTGACTAAGATTCATCCCAGTATCTTAGCTAGAAGAGCCTGTGGCAAGAAATAAAGACACTTCTTGGAAATAACAAAATTTATATTAAAAACTGTTATATTCTTTTCATTAGCAAAAGTATAAAATCTATAGCTACCAAATCCATCAACTTTCCCAGTAAACATTATAATAAATTATATAGTACAGGAAGATGTGTCATCTGTATCCTAAATTTCCTCTACATAATAAAGTTCTGCCGTGATAGTTCAGGCATTGTGGAAATTATAGACTTGGCAAGCAACAAGAAATGTTCAAATAGTCTACAACTGTAACCATATAATAAAATATTTAATTTTCTCATCATCAAAATAAACATTCTTTTCTTTTTTTTCAGACATGTTTAATTTGGTAAATCGGAGGATAAAAACATGGATTTTTAGCAGTTGAAGAGCAAATTAAGGTAATTAGACTATTATTGACATCCATATAATTTCAAAATTTATTTAAATATATTTATCTTCAAGTTAATATATTAAGTCTTTATCATATTGAAATGTCAGCATATTTGTAGTGTGTTACTAAAATGGATTTTTACATATTTTGGAAAATAAATTGCCATTTCTTGTTACACATTTTCCAAAAATTATATTTCTTGTGAACCAATTATAAATGATTAATTCAAAATATTGCTTTTGCGAGGAAATATACTCCAACTATATGAAAAACAAATGAGCTAAAAGTAACAGTTTTGGTAGGTCTCCATCTTTTTGGAAAAGCACATATGTTTTATTACTTTCTTATGTAGTATAGAATAATCATACTGAGTTTTTTTTTTTTTTCCCAGTTGCTGCATGTACAATAACACAATATGTCAAAGTCATTTTTGTTTAATTCATTGTTTTAAATTACATATTTATAATGTTGAATATAAATATTAGGTAACAAAATATATTCATTTGGTAGCAACAAGATGTTTAATATCAAGCAAATTACTTTCAAAAATTACGTTGTTATTTATCAGAAATATGTTTATGAAGTCCAGTTTAAAACATTTCAAGGGGTGTAAATTAAAGTCAATATACATCCTGAGAAAATCATAGAAGGCAAAACAGGCCTGCATATTTATTAATCAATCAACAGTACAATTGGAATTTCCTCTTTTCTTGAAGTTAATGAAAGTAATTCCTGTAAGGTTACTTTGTGAAGTTTAGCGTGTACATTATTATAAATATACAGTCTAAAATTGGAAATATTAACATTTTTACTGTTGTTTGTATTAAAATGATTTAAGTTCATTTCATTTTGTATTACTGGCATAATTGATCATCTATTTTCAAATATTCTGTACTTTCCTCTGAGAGTTAAGAGTAATGAAATGAGTGACTTAAAACAGTAAATATTTTATACTTATCTTTATATGCACTAACATTTTCCGGGTGATGTTTTGTCTTTTAAATATTTTCGCCTTTATTTCTTTGTCATTGTTTTCTTCCCCATATTTATGTCTATATGCAAACAATGTTATTCCTGTTTTACAGAAGAGACATGATTGAATCTCTTTCATTTGTAATTTCATTGTCAGTGTTTTCTTCTTCACATGCATTCATATATGTGAACAATTAATATTATTTTCTTCTTTCAGAATAGATATGATTGATTGTCTTTCATTTTTATCATTAGCTTATTTATACATTAACTAAATTTGGCAGATTTCCTTTTGCTAAGTTCAATATGTAATGGTTTATTTGGTACTTAATGTTAGTCAAATAAATAAATAGACAAAACATGCTCATGCAATCATCCTCTTAAAAAAATTAATCCAGACAAACTTAGATATGTTTGTAGTGGACCTATCAAAAACTGGTGAGAAAGATGAAGCACTATAGATACTATTGTGCTGATTTTGAAAGAGTTCCCGACAGATTGCTAAAGAAAGAAAGGTGGGAGCAGTTCACTTCTGCTGAAGGCTCCGAAACCTTCAGAGAAGCTGCGAAATTCATGGAGGAGTTGTTGTGACAGGGAAGGTGACGTTATACATTCCAGGCCCACACACTAGTTTGTGAAAGAGCCCATAAAAGAGCAAGAATGGCCATTGAGAGACTGCTGTTTCCTTTCAATAATCAGAAAGCATTAAGCCTTAATGATGTTTAATTTAATGTTTGCCACAGGTCTCAAATATGAAGTTTCTGGAGAAACCATAGGGATTGTTATCATGTTGAATGATTGAAAGATTTCTTTTCTAATGTTTTAATTCATATATAATTCATATGCCATACATTCATCATTTAAAAGTATACAATTTTTTTTTTTACTATGTTCACAAAGTTGTGGAGCTATCACTGCTCTCTAATTTCAGAATATTTTTATTTTCCCAAAAGGAAACCCTGTATCCTTCAGCAGTTACTTCCTGTTCCCCTCTTCCCCCACCCTCTGGCAAACACTAACATACTGTCACTGAGGGTCTACAGTATAAATAGAGTCATACATTTGGGCTTTTATGTCTGTCTTTTTCAATGAGCACAATGTTTGCAAGTTTCACCCTTGTAGCATGAATCATTACTTCAGTTTGTTTATGGCTGAATAATATTCTGTTATCTGGATATATACCACATTTTGTTTGTCCATTTTTCAGTTGATGGACTTTTTTAGATGTTTAAGCTCTTATGAATAATGTTGCTTTGGAAATTTCTGTACAAGTTTTTGTGTAGGTGTGTGTACTTCTTCCTCTTGGATATATACCTAAGGTTGATTTTCCTGGGTCATATGTTAACTGCATGTTTAGCTTTTTAGGAATTTCCAAATTGTTTTCCAAAGTGACTGCACCATTTTGCATTTCCACTAGAACCATGCGAGTGTTTCAATGTTTCTGTATCCTTGCTAAAAGTTATTGTCTGTCATTTTGATTACAGCCATCCTATTGGATGCCAAATGGCTGCTCACTGGGATTTTAATGGTGGTGGTTGTTTGAAAGGGTATTTTAGTGTACTCATGTTGCATGTATTTGGTTAAGTGCATTTATGGAATTACTATCATTTTTAATTAAACAAGTCCTCACATTTAGAAAACTGCTTTTATGTAGTCCTAACGTCAACATTTAAAAATGAAGATTATTTTATTAATACATGCTCAATACAACAATAGGAAAATGGCAGCTAATATTTCCCCTACTTCTATTACAGGTTATTTTTCGGTTTCATAACATAAACACTAATCAGACTTATTAAGGAGCTGACCAAAAACTTTAAATAATCAAGAAGACTGACATAAGGATTTGACTCTTAAATCCCAAGTGATTAAACTTGTCTTAAGAATATATGTTGTTTTGAGGTATAAGTAAATGACAGTATACAGAAACATAAATAATAAGAACTGTAATAACTTAACATCTAGAACATAAATGTAAAACCTCTGGTTTTGTTCACCAGGGTTTATACTCATGGTCAGTCTAGCAATTTACAAATTTTTACTAAGCTTTCTGATAAATCTTTAGAAACTTCATTTGAGATTTACTTCAGGGAAGGAATACAGTCACTGGAGAAAGCATAGCTCTTTCTGCTGTAGTAAAAATGCCTGTTGTCACATACAGCAGTTGGAGACTTGTTTCATCTTCAGCCTTCTCTGCTCTCCAGCTGTGCTGGCTTCATTGCTGTTTGTGGAACACACTAGGCCACTCTACCTAAGAGCCTGGGTCTTTCTACCAATCATTCTCTCCAGTTATTCACATAGCTTTATTCCTAGACTTCAGGTATTCTCTTCTCATGGCAGCCTTCCCTGCACATTCCTATTTAAAATGAAAACTGTTTGGGAGTACCCTCTGCCCCATCGCCTGCCTTATTTTTCTCCAGAACATGTATTACCACATTACACAAAATTTGTTTAATGCCTCCTTCCATTAGTTTATATATTCTAAATATTTTCTCTTCATAGCATCTTTTTAATTTCTGTTTTTAATGTGTCTTTATATTGTGCCATTGGCTTTACTCATGGATTTGTATATTAGAAAGATAACTCTGGAAGCAGCATGCGTGAGTATGTGACTGAAGGCAGGTAGATTACCTAGTAAGTATCTGCAGTAACTCAGGTGAGGTATGAGAAAGATCCAGTTTAACACAACAACAATGGAGATTGAGTGGTAGTAACACATTTAAGAATATTTAGGGCTGGGTGCAGTGACTCATGCCTGTAATCCCAACACTTTGGGAGGTTGAGGTGGGTGGATCACAAGGTCAGGAGTTGGAGACCAGCCCATCCAAGGCGGTGAAACCCTGTCTCTACTAAAAATACAAAAAAAAAAAAAAAAAAAAAAAAAAAAAAAAAAATTAGCCAGGCATGTTGGTGGGTACCTTTAATCCCAACTACCTGGGAGGCTGAGGTAGGAGAATTGCTTGAACCCAGAGGCAGAGGTTACAGTAAGCCGAAATCATGCCATTGCACTCTAGCCTGGGCAGCAGAGTGAGACTTCATCTCAAAAAAAAAAAATAATAATAATATTTAGAAGGCAGATTCATAGGTCTTAGTGACTGATTGTATTTGAATAGTGAGAGAAAAGTTGAAGTCAGAAACGAGTCTCAGGTTTGAAAGTGGCAACCCTGTTTGTGATGGTGCCATTTATTGAGCTGTGTAGGAAGCAGAATTCTTTGCTTATTTGCTTTTATACAGTAACGATGTAATGTCTTCACAGAAATAGTAATGTCTGTTTTTTTTACAGAAATAATACCCAGAGGTAGGTGTTAATTTTAATCTCTAGGTAGGAGTGATTTCTACAAATATAATACTTTAAACTGAGGGGCATTAATTATCTCTCTTTTTTTACCCCCTTTTAAAATAGACATTTAAAAATGAAATTTTGGTTAGCTATGAGATTATGTTTTCTAATTAACTTTAAAACCACAGTCAGAATGTGCAAGATGTAAAAACCCTCCACGAACAGAATAAAAGCAAATTAATTATTCAGACAGTCATTCCTGCTTATTCCACTCTTGGAGATATCATGGCTGTCAGAATCTGTCAACTGTATATAGTTAGTGCCCTTCAGAATTTACATACGTAAATGGTGACCTTTGGAAATCTGCATAAAGATAAGTCTGGCATTTGAATGATACCTGCCAATCAGTTGAGCAAAAAGTTGTCAGTTACTACTTAATCCACAGAGAGAGCAGGCTGTGAAGCTGTGAACAGCAAATGGAATGTATACAAAACAAAAATACTTTTTTCCCCACCAAAACAAAAATAAAATTCATTTTTAACAGAATTTTACAAAGGTTATAACTAATTGCTTGGATCAGTATTTTTGGTGTGTATAGCTTTTCTCACTAAATCTGTCAAAATGAATGTTAAATTTAAAAATAATTTTAAAATTTAGTTATTTTAAAATAAATGTTTATTACTACATTTGTATGTTATAAAATGAGTGCATATACATTGTGATGTTAACTTTCTATTTTTTCTTATTTTTATGGC